TCGAAACCCGATGATTTAAGGTCAGCATGAAACCTCTCCTGGTTGCGAGCACGTAACTCCAGACATCCAGTTAAGAGAAAGTTTTACACGGGCGGTTTGATTGCACAATTCAACTAGATTAGGAACGAACTGAACGTACTGGATTAATGCACAGCGCAGTAGTGTGTTCACCAGCAAGGGTAAACAAATTGTCAACAGATGATGAGTATGACGAAATTAAAGCGACAAATAAACATTTTAGTGATGAATAGATAATGAAGCCCTGTGAACTTCTTTTGAAAAACTTTGTCTAACTAATGTAGAATGAATCTGGGCTCATCGACAATTTGTAGACATTAGTTCATGAGCATTTCATGCGGTTGCATGTTTTCCAGTAGTTGCTGCTTGAATGCAGTTAGCAAGGCTAGCAGAAAACATACTTTATGTTCAAGAAGTTTGAATATGTCTAAGCGTTTTAATACACAAACAAAGTTGCGACACTTATTACTAGCTACTCTTCTATTGCTACCTAATCAGGGAAACAGTAGTGTAAACCACGAAGCCGACAGTGGTATTCAGGACTGCGCAGTTTAGTAGAAAAGAAACGGAGGGATAAGAACCGTGGGCAGCAGCTGAATGTTGTCTGCTCTTTACTCCGAAAAACTTGCTTTAACGATTAATCGCTTGTATATATTGTTTTGAGTTGTTGCAACATCGTTTAACCATTTGTGTCTGGGCGGTAATTACAGTTAAAACTTTGGTTAAATTGCAATACTGTTAAATTGCAAGCGTCATTCTTGCCTGCACTCGTGAGGACATGTATACTAGTCTTCTGTCAACAATTAGGAAAGGGCCAGCACTTTGATACCTTGCTCTACAGTGTGTGGAGTTAATTTTGTGCTTCTTCTCGAGCGTGATCTATAATTATTTTCAGAGAAACATGAGTGGTTGCTCTAATTGTTCAGATGTAGTTGATTTTGTTGTAGCATGCCAGTCCTATTAATTTCTATTATTTTTTACACTGCATTTGCCGTGATTCAGTATATGTACAACTTTAAGCATAATCCGTATTACACTGATTCAGCATATATGTTGATACCAGAAAGTACCGCCAGGCCTCAAGCAATGTGGCTGGGCGCAGAACTTAGTTATTTGCACAAGTTATACTTGTAACAGAAAGTAATTCATTAAGTAGTCATCCTCTTCATTGCTAGTGTTGCATGCGCATATGTTGTGATATTTGTTTATTGAACTCTTTATTTTTTCGGTAGTAATGGTGGCGAGCCAATGTGGATGGTTATAGTTATGCTTTTGAAGTGTATCAAGGCAAATATCAGAACACTCCTAACTCTAAAGACAGACTTGGATTGGGGGGAATTGTTTTAGACAGAGTAATCTAAACCCTGTTGTGGCACAGTAGCTGAGGTGTTTCCCACCTCTAGCTGACGTGTATAATGATGATGAATCTAAACCCTGAATGGAGGTGATTATGTTGTGGTAATGGATAATTATTTTATAACTGTGACACTATTTGAGCATCTGAAGTTAAACAAGAATTTTTCCTGTGGAACTGTCCTTACCAACAGGAAATGTTGTCCTTAACGTTAAGAGGACAATGCGATGAAGCGAGATGATTTTGATTATGGTTCTAACGATCAAGAAATTGTGTTCTTCAACTGGAGAGACAACGGGTGTTTTCATCAGTTGTCCAATTATTAGTGAAATGAATCATTTACTGTGATGCGTAATGTGCGGATTCGAACAGTGTCCGAAGTTCTGGCACCCAAGATAGCATAAAATTACAATTCAGCCATGGGTGGATTGAATAAAGCAGATATGCTGCGCTCTCTATATGATTATGATAAAGAAGCAGAAAGGTGGCACAGACTGTTTTTCGCAGATGTAATTGGCGTATGTCAATGCATGCCATGAGAAAGGACATATATCATGATATCTTTTGCTGGAGTTTCGAAGAAACTTGGCAAAGGGGCTTGTTGTTATGGGAAGCAGACCAGTGAAAAGAGGCTGGCCTTTAATTAATACGTTGTTATCCCCAAACGAACTAAACGGACGAAGGATAAACTGGTATTTTTTTGCCTAAGTACCTCAGGACAGGATCTTGGCGCTCAATGAGTTATAAATGTTGCAGAAAAGTAAAGATGGGAAAGGTGTCTTCATTGAAAAATATAACTTAGACCACATTCAAAATGTTGATATGTGATATTTTTGTACTGCAAAGACAAAATAACTGCTTTCAAGGATGTCGTTTTCAATAATGTACCTTTATGTTTACAATGTTAATGATCTACGTTCCTGTCGGTACATACAACTACCACCTTCAAAATAAACATGAAAATGCAACAACTTAATTTGTTATCTTTTATCTTCATTGATAACCAAAACCTAACTTATGATATAAAATAATAATGAACAAGCCATAGGTAAATTAATTCAAGACTAAAAGGGTCAAAGCGACAAAACCAATGGCCACGTTAGTACGCCAACATAACTCCATTGCCGCGGTCTAACTATCGAAGTAGACGAGTAGATGTGATTCAGTCCGTAGTTTTATAGGGACGCAGAGCAATTCTGATATATAAGTGCGCCTCCTTTAATAAGATATTTTTATCACGCTCCTATTGTATACCTTTGCGCTAGATGGGGGCATGTAAATGTCTACACATAATACGCAAGCATTCAAGGATCAAACCAGAAAGATGTTTCAAAAATTTCGTGGCTGGGGTTTAGCAGGACACCATTGGCACGGTGTAATAAAACCAGTAAGAAAACACTTAATTAAGTCAGCGTGAAGTCTTTTTTGATTGACTTTTATTCATTCTCAATTAGATAAACGAGAACTAGAAATTAAGAAGTTGCACGAGTTCCCGAACCCTGAGGTGCGGTTGGCTACTTTAACACCACTGTACTAGAAAGCTTGTTTTTCTCTTCCCATTTAACGGACATGTAAGTTGCTTCCGTTTCAGTGAATCAAAGCGTTTTCGACGGTTCTGCGAAAATTGCGCGGCAGTCAAGTGCAAATTTGAGAACGTTCAATAGAATTCACATGAGTAATGGAAACGCATTTTCATTAGTTCACTCACTGTTGCAATTGGTCGTGTGCTTGACTGCGTTTCGGATGCTTTCCTATCCTCTGTTTGTGTGGCTGCCTTTGTTCGATGCCTTTTTTCGAGATTGTCCTAGATGTAATGGCAAGAACCCGAGGAATCGTTTATCACCGCGGTCTCAACACTCCATAAGGAGGCAAAATTTTCCTATACCTGGATATGGATAGAAGATTATTCCGCAGTTGTTACAACTTACCGATCGGACAAAGTAAATATTTGTTATCTTGGAAGGATACCATTATCCCGAGGCTTGAACAATTGGGTTCAGCTCGTCTAATAATACCACTGTCACATACTTCTTAGTTAGAGCTCTCCTGTTGAAATTTAATGTCAACATGTATACACAGACATTTCATTGGACTTCGGAAGATGCCGATGCTAAGTCACTCTTAATTGGACAAATCCCGATTCATTGCTAATATTCACTAAGGCCAGAAAAATTTGGTTCGGCCATTTTCGTTACTGGATAATTAGTTTTCACTTACCACCCATCTGGAGTTGTTCACTCAGATTGTTTATTTGGCGTCGAATGCTTATACTTCTGATCAATTTTACAACTTGCCACGGGAGGACTCCGGATTCGTTGTTCCGGCTAATTTGCTGTACTTCAGGACCTAAACCATTGGGTTCGGCGCTGTTCAGCACTTCAACAACACTTCAATATATTTTATTGGATATCCTCCGGAGACTTTAGGCGGCTCTACAGACGACCAACACATCACATTAAAAATCGGGCCCAGCCATTCGGTCATGACAGCACAGGACCTGGGACCGAAACATGCATCGCCTAACATGCGTCAGCCAAGGAAAACATTTGGCACAACTTCACAACGCATAACGGAACAAATAATCACTCAAGAAGAAGCATAGCCAGTTACGCCTTGCACTTCAAACGGATCGACGGCAGTGCTCCAGCGCGGGGTGTGTTTTCGCCTGGAAAGCGTTCTCCCTATAAAAAGCCACAAATATACATTTAACAACACTGCGACGTGACGGATGTGACCGGCCAACGAATAAAGTCACACCCCATAGCTTCACACTGGCAACTCAACTGGCGCCACCTTTCATCATCCTTGAAACCTACACTACACTGACACTTCCATATCTGCATCTTCCGTCATCACTTTTCTTGCTATGATTTCACTGTTGATCATTATGACACGCTCATTTCAACCCAGTATATCGCCACATACTTGTCGATCTTGCTTTTCACTAATTCTTTTCTAATCAATCATTTAGAATTCTTAATCTATTTTTGACTGACTGTAATAATGACTGATGTAATAATGCGAAATATGACAGAATGGTTATGTCCCTACAAACTTGACCCGACCTCACGATAATTTAATCCATCCCTCTATTACATTTGTACCGGTGGTAGAGTTTCAAACAGGAACGTATGAACAAATTTCTATTATCACTGTTACAGTTGCCATAAGACATCTGCACAGTTGCACCTATCTGATCATGCCTCCCTGGTCGTGCCTAGCATAGTCGAGAATCAATAAATGAATATTTAGTTATTTAAATCATTTCAGTTAAAGAGGAAAACACTAATCACTATAATCCACCTGGCGATTATCCGCCTATCATCACAAAGGCGTCTAATTTGCAGTAACGCTAGTGCGGTTTATACGAATAAACAAACGCTTGTCAGAGATACTCTCCTCCAATGGACGACAGCGGTAAACCCTTAGGCGACAGACAACATTGCACCCCCGCCCTCTGAGTATTGGGATTACTTGAGCTGTCCGCACGATGCAGGCAGTTGAAGCACACCTTCAACAGCTATTGGTTTTCAAGCATAGCCACACACAGTTTGTATTAGCGGTACATTTCAATGTACTACATTGGAGGGTTCCTAGTTGAAGCAATGAATATGCTTTGGAGAAGACAATGAATGCAATCAAAGCGATACTTTTCACCCTACTGGGCGAAATCGGTAAAGGTAGGAAATTTTAAGAGTGTACGTTATTACTTCTGTCAAAGTTTTGGATTATCTAACTGCATGTCATATTGCATAGTAAAGCAAGAATTAGTCAAAGCACAGCTGTTTTGTTCACAAAATATTGCCTATGCTGATTTATCTTAGGTAGACGTTCAACGAATAATTTATATATTTTTGTCGTTAAACTTTGAAGTATCGTTCACAGTTCTCGTAAGTTGGGATCGCGTTTAATACTCACTACTATATTGGTGTCATTTTTCTATTATTATAACTAGCGTGATATCTCGATGGCAGTTAATTAGCCATTAGCAGTCCAAAAAATCCTACTGGCTTCAAACTTATCATTTGTATTGCATACTATACTATGGATAGCAGAGTCTGTTCCTTGTCACGCTGCCTAATTTGGACCTGCTATGACTAGCCAGCCTCATCGGTCGGCCGAAACCATGTGTACTGTTGAGATAGCCTGCGTGCTGAGTCATATTTCACGACTGCAACCTGCACATTCTGAGCACTGAGTATTCGGGACGAAACCGTTGGAAAAATCTTGTAAAGTTGGAAGTTTTATCACTTCAGCGGCCAACAATGCTGTCATTTTGGTGCCTTTCCAGTCTCAGAAGTAGGTAACTTGCTGATATAGGAAGGGAAATTTTGCTCTTAACGTAGACAATAGCTGTGGTAGGTTATATGCTTATTACCTTTATATCTCCCGCAGGGTTGTCCACGCAAGTAAGGTTGCGATTTGGGGAGCCTACATAATTAACCTAAACTATGTTTCACTGGTGCTCGATTTTCTCCGACCTCATGGATGATGCAGGTTTAGGTTACTTTTCTAAATCCTCATAACTGGCTACCGTATGAGCTAAATTACCGGTACACTACAGGAGTCCAAGAAGTTTCTGCCTCTTGCTAATAGTAACTTTTGTTTCCGGTTATTCACCGTTGGATACTTGGAGCCGACCACAACAGAGTAGACACATGGCTAACCAAACTACTTTCATTTGATGTAGACTTTTTGACGCACATTTACTTTAACTGGATTGTGGCACGCAGTTTTATTCTACACCGCGATTCGTTTTGTAGCCAATTACGGTCATTTAGGTCACTAGGATTATATCAGAAACAACTAACTGTTAGATGTTGTTGCACGTAACGCTGCGCCCCATAGACATTTTCGGATCAATTTGCAGTCCTAAAGAATAGATAGCGGAATTACGACCTTGAATCAGGGAGTCACAGACCACAGGCTAAAGCTTTTACCTCCAAAATACTCCCCGATTTGGCGTCAAAAGCTTTACTTTCGACATTTTGTGTATCTTTCTTCTTGCAAGGTGTTTGGTCCTACAAGTTATTCTACTAGATGTATTTGAATGCCATTTGCTGCCGCTGACCTCCATCTACGGCGGTCGATCATCAGCAGTAAAATGCTAAATGTTCTAGCGGTTAATTTCAGCGAATGTATTCTGCTCGTCAAGGAACGCTTGTTAAGGTAGACTACGTGCTATCAGCCAGAAAATAATTCTCAAGGTAAATAACTAAAACCCTCATCGCAAGTGTTCATTTGACTAGCTTCAAGCGCATTGCGCGGAAATAAAATACCCCCATTCTGTTTAATCTCTGTCAAATAGGAAGCTGAGGTCATACTACCGAATGCCTTGGGTAGCAGTTTCCAAGTCGACCTAAAAGTATCAGCTATCTGGTGTTCCTTTGTATTGAAGTGTACTTTTAATACTTATGTGATAAATTGCTTCTAGTGCTAAACCGAGTTCTAACTACTACACACTTACAGGTCTAATGGAAGACAGTGAGAATAGCATTTTTGCACAAAACGCTGGTGAAGTGGCCGTTGTGAACGGGACAGAGGCGAATTTGAAATGCACCCTTAACACCGACCTAAATATTTCGGTAAGAGTGCAGAAACAAGAGCTATTTTCCATATTACTGGTAAATATTTTTACATAAATATAGCGACCTTTCTATGCCTTGTATCCGACAAAGAGTCCACATTCATGCTTTGTTTAGATGATTTGACGGAACTACACTTAGTATTGCTTTGTTGCTGAATTCAACCTAAACTTCTGATACGTATGCACTTTCGGTTGGATTTTAACTGTCATAAAATGCACTTCCTACTGCAGCTGACAACGGATATTAGGTGATCGGCTGATTAGAACCACAGCTGTACGAAAGAGTCTGCTGCCTAGTTGCAACAGACCTAGTGGTTTAAAACCGGAAACGGAGGTTATTCCGATATGTACTCAGCTGACAAGCAAAAATAATAGAACATTAACGGCCAATGAGATATTGTGTTTGGCTACACGGAGAATTTCATCGACACTAAACTGCACCATTAGCTATTGTAATTTTTTCTATGGATAACCGCGTGGATATGAAGTATTTGGCACAAAACGCTGAAAATGGGGCAGCATATTCGTTTATTTACAACGACAAATATATCCGATCTGCCTAAACTTTCAATGGCCTCCGCTAGTAACGATTGGCATCACAACCATGGTTAGCACGGTAAAATTTTAACCTTATTGTGAGATTTTGTCGACATTTCCATTCACATCCAGATATACGTTTTTTTTCAGGAGTACTTGAAAGTGCAATTTTCTGGTGAAATCATTCATGACGGCTCTTTCAAATACTCCAGCTGGGTCTTTCGGCTCTGGACTTTCTGTCATTAAGTAGCAGCCGGCGATAATGTTGTCTTTGGGTAGACTGATGTTGGTCTTCTTACCTCATCCTATTTTTGGAGGCTTTCACTGCACTAGTTTTTGCAACTGAGATCAGTCCATAGGTTGCCGGTTTAAACTGCCTTCGCCTACAGAGTTTGGGAAGGCTACAAGCAGATATTGCGCCTGCATACTGACGCACGCGGAGGTAAAGGTTTGTCTGCACTAAAGTCAAGCTTTGCACAACACATACTGTCGTCTTATGGAGGTATATAGCCTGTTAAAGCTAGCCGCAACCATAATTTCTGGTCTGTTCCCCGATGCGTACAAGCACCACCAACGCGTTGCACGTCTTAAAAAAGAGGACTGTGAATTAACCAAGTGTTGCTTGGAGCTGATCAATTCACATCTTGTCTCTGCGATACCGGTACAAAGCGTGTGACTAATCTCATTATTGTTTCCCAAGTCGCAAGCAGCAAGGCAGACAGTGGCAACTTGAGTTAGGATATGGAGTGCAGTCCACGTTTATCGAACGTGACCTCGTTCTAATGAATCCGTCGAATATCGATAACAGGCAGTATACATGTCTGGCGCCTACGAAGTGAGTTCAGGCAATATGGCTACTTCATTCCCCTACAAATGCTAAACAACCACATTCGTCCTAATATCGAATGCCAACTTAGTGCCTCACAGTGATAGCCACAACACCATCCCAAGCACCGAAGCTTCCTCCTCATTTGGATGTTGAAGGAATCACTGGAATGCGTAGCCAGCCATAAGATCAAAAGCTGAAACCCTTGTGAGTACTCAGCACCTTATGAGTAGACAAGCTAATGTACTACATGGTCTTGTTTAATCGAAGTCACGCGTACCGTACTTTGTAAAATTTAGCAGTCGCACCGATGTTGAATGCTATTCTCTGAAATGGAAGGTACGGCAAACAGCTTGGAATGAGGCTATCTGTTCGTTCTACTTTTATCCAACATACCTGAGACAAGCTTTCTAACCGAATAATCTCTCCCCAAAACCAACCATAGTTAAGAAGCCTACGGAAGGTTGTCTCATTCAGCTGCATTTTGCTGCCAAATCAACCGTTATCTGTGCTGTAAAACAAGACGAAAAGTATAACTATGACTTCACTCGCACATGAAAATTAGCAGCTGGTTCAATCCATGAGAAAGTGCAAGCTGTCACATATTTGTGGGTTCACCAAAGCAACCGCCAGCCCACCCAGTGAGGCTTGCAGTGCACGTAATTTTAAACCTTTAATGCCTCATAGTACACAACGTATTGGGCAGTTGCAGCATGGAAAATCCACTCTGCTTGAGTTGCGATACATGACGCCATTTTGGGCCACGACTCCGTATGCAGCAAACGTTTATCACTGTAAACAATAGCGCCTCACTGATGGTGAGGGGATTGAAGTGTTGCAACCCGGAGGCGGCGGAACAAAGTATAGGAACTTACGATTTGTGAGATGCACGCGAAGACGGTCTCCTGATAACACTGCAAAAAATGTACTGTATGGATGTACATCATAACAAAGCTGTTTGGTGGTCCGTTTCTATGAGGAGGTTGCGTGACACAAATGCCATTTTTAAGGTACACGGCTTTGAAGTAAATAGAAAAGCGCTAGAAATCCTCGAGCAACGCGTTTCAAGCATGACCACCAACAACAGCGTTCCAAGCGCGTGAGGTCATTAACCATAGGTGGCAACAAATATGAGCCACCTTCAGTAGTATCAATATCACGAACGCTAGTTAAACGTCAACCTCCAAATTGCACTAAGGGATGGAAAACTGTTAGAATCAAGAGCACAGATAATACAACTTATGATACCAGATGTAACGAGAGTGAGCTTGCTCACATTAAGTCGACCAGGAGCGATGTGTGGAGGATTGAAACACAATGTGGAGAGACAAATTCCCAAAGTGCATGTTGGACGGATGTTGTTGTGCATAGAACCGAGTTGACAGCCGTGTCATTGAATTAGGATTGAGCTCCGGAGCACAAAGGTTTGGGATAGAGCAGGTAGATGGGTTTAGATGATGAAAGTCTCATAGGATAAATAATTTAGAGAACGTTTGCATCTGTTTTAGTTCAAACAACGTTTATCAACGTAAAAACAACAAATCTCACATCAACAGACTGTAACAACAGTATTTAATCTATAATTTACGCGCATCTGTAAGAAATACCAAAGCAGAAATTCGTGGCAAATATTTGCGGATAATGCTTAGAGATAGCTATTCGCCTAATATCTGACGGCACAGATCTCCAAATGGAATGGACTGGATTTACGAATTGCCAGAACTGAAACATCGCCCTCCCACCCGCTGAAGCTGCCTAGCAGGTTCAACACCACATGAATTTTGGGCAGCACCTGACTAGTGAAAGATACTTGAAAAACATCGTCCAACCAAGTCTGGGCTATTCGGCCCAACGCTCGAGGACAGAAAATGTAGTAAACTTTAATATCGGGCTCTTGAGGCGAGCGCTCAATTTGTTAGATCAACTGCTATTACTCCCACTGATTCACATGCGTATTTGTCCCCACTCAGAATATGCGTTTCAGGCCTAACGACCATAGTTTAATCGAGACAGTCGACGCTCAGAGGAGCCCCAAAGAAGCGTCGTCAAGGCAATATGTTGACAATCTAAACTCATTTATGAAATACGCCTTTGCCTAATTGAACTTTTCCTCACAAAATGCCTATTGCTTCGGGGAGTTCTCATTCTCCCACAGGAGATATTAACATAAAACTATTATCTATGTGAATCACCTCTGCTCCTAGCTCCTTGTAAACAACACGCAGGCCACCACGGCAAACTAGTAACTGAACACTGCAGTTTGGAAAGCGTTCTTTAACCTTCGAATCTGTTCACGCTGGAATGCATCGTCTGCACATGCGGTGAACGTCCCAAAAATCGAGAAATGCGGAAGACCATTAAGCTTTCATCTAAGTGAGAACTGCTACATAACAGTATGAAAAAGTGTGATGTCATGATCCAAGTTGGAACATTCCGCTTTTAGCAGTTTTGCATTTACCACCCTTTGGATCATATAAATGTATGCTTTTTATGCCATGATACACCAACCGAATTGTTAGTCTCTTTTTCTAATTTCCTAAATGCCGATCTAACCGGGGTAGAAAATGCAATCCAGTTCATCGGCCCGTTATGCGTATCGGCATAAGGGCTTATGTGACGTCACTCCGTGTACCAACGCACAGCACCGTACTAAAAATTAACACACCTCCCAGCTAACCGGTATGTGTCCACGGTGCCTGTGCGTTAGCAGATAACACACACGAGGCAATTAACGGACTCTCCTTCTACATTTCAGGACATGGACAATATTACCTGGATTCGTTCCCCGCGTCAGATTTTAACCAGAGGAATATTTCGAGTTACAGACAACGATCGGATAACCGTAGCACCTCAAGTAAGATTATGCGAGACTGCGTCTCTTCGTAGGAATTTTAGTCAACCGTGCTCAGCTGTGTAGTTGTAGTTTTTCATCTATGCTATTAACTTAGAAAGTGGAGCGAATATTTCTGTCGCTTTAGATAACAGTATTATTTAAAAGTTGAAATCAATGGCATACGCATCGTATGCTAACTACCTTGCATGAACAACTTTTGACATGGGTGTATTGTACTTTCTCAAGAGGCCAGCAGTAACATGAACGATGCTTGCAGACAGAGTTTATGACTTCTGACTTTCATTTACAGAATTTTCATCCAGTTGGTTCAAAATAATCGAACAACAAAAGCCAACAGTCACTAGAAACTAATTCCACGAACGGTACTTAGAGAATAATCGAATGAAATGTCTTGGTGCCCGCGAGTTCTTTTGGTCAGACTAAAGTAGATAATCATACTACTATTTTTATTTTCAACCGTCACAAACGGACAAAAACAAGCACTCCATACAATATCTGCATCCACATGCAGATTCGCCTCATATTTACGTGAATCACTGGGACGTATTTTGCGGTGCCTTAGTCCCGGTACCATTCGGTATCCTAATCACGCAACCGAAAGGGATGCCGGTATCAAGAATCCACGGCGAACAAAGTAGCATGGCATAAAACAGGATTTGTTTTGAGTTTCATTCCGGGTAAATTTACTTCAGGTACTGAAAATTAATTAGATACTAGCAAGTGATAACATTGGGATGTGTGCGTCTATTCGGCTTTCCATTCACAAGCAGGTACCGAAGTTCTAACTTATTCTGTAAGTCAAATGCGGCTGGCTAACTTCCAAGCGCGATTTCCAATGCTGCATCGTTATGGGCATTCCGGTTCATGTAGACCGTACCACTGAAGGACGAATATTTCGTACATTATAGCGGGAGCTCAGACAGTGATTCCAAAAGACATATCGAGTTGCAAAATAGCCACTTTATTTCAACTCGTAACTTATACCTGTGAAAATGCAAGACCAAAATGATGTGGAAAGTACTATTCTCGTTAAATCTCCTTCGGCATTTACAATTATAAAATGGTATGTTATGGCACAAACAGCTGGTGAAGCAAAATATAGATTGATGCAATCAAGACAGTCCAAAACTCAAACGTCTTGATCAATAAAATCATCTATCTCAGGTGACGGAACCCGTGTTGGTTGATCAGTGAAATGCCAAACGCATTACCCGGTCACAGTCAGCAACCGAAGCGATGGATGTTGGCATACTGATTGCGGCCAAGATAGAATTACAATTACAATTACAATTAAGCCTTCTGTTTGCATAGTGCCGGTTTTGTTATCCTAACTGCTATCGCTTCGACACGTCTCCACTACAGACCTCACGTTCAGTTGCAATCCTCCATACTATATCAGTTTTCCTGCACCTGAGGTGCTAGGTACGTTGGACGCACGACCAGAGGTCTGTCTAAACGCATAGCGGAACACAGCCCAGAGGCTTTGCTGGGAAGGACATACTCAGTAGCATCAATAGTTCCAACCTGGAATATCTGATCAAAAGGGCACACCGAACCAGAACCGTCTTCAAAATACTTTATGTCGTGCCGAAACGTTATCCCGATGGCCTTAGGATACAAGTCTTACGGGCTGCCGAAGCTTTTACAATAAGACCCATATAAACGGAACTATGTAACAGAAGGATTTTTGTAAGGGTTTTCTCTACCTTGGTCGGAATTAGTCTGTCAACATCTATCGCTTCGTGTGCTGACTGTGACCTGTTGATGTGCTTGACATTCTACAGATCAAGCAACACACCTACGATAGATGACTTTATTGATCAAGACGTTTGAGTTTCGGACTGTCGTGACTGCACTAATCCACTTTTTGATTCATCCACTCTTTGTTCCATAACATACCATTTTATAATTGTGAATGCCAGAAGTTGTCTACAAGAATACCCTTCGCAGGCTTGTATTTGTAAAGCAAAAGGTTCCAGATTGTCCTAGTTATAAAATCGACACCGATGACGCTGTTTGTTAAGGGAAGGGAAATTGGCAGCACACAAGAGTAGTTGCGCGTTGCAACCGAAACGTGCGCCAAGCGAAGGCGGTGCTCGACCGACACATGCGAACTCAACAACCAGTTCATGAATCCTCACCGGCGGCCTAAGGGTACCACGAAATACTAACATTTTTTAAACTTTCACACAGGCAAGCGGGGAAAATCTCAAGACTGTTGCAACCACAATGCTAGATTGGGTTTGGCTACATTTGTGGAAATTACTAATTTTGCAAATTAAGCGAACCGGTTGAGAACTATGCGAAGAAAGATGAAGCCACAGTGAATCAAATGTCCGCCATCCAAGGTGAACTAGAGTGGTAGTTAACATAGTTGCACCACACGGAAACGTCTCCTTCAAATGCTCGATAAACAAGATAAGTGGCAAAGTGCGACAAGGAATCGGAGCTGCGCGCACTGTAATCTCAATCTTCCCAAGGTGTTTCAGAAGCACAGAATAATAACTGAAAGCTAATGAACGAAAACCAGAATGGTAGATAACAATTTGAGTAAAATAGCGATAGTAGCATGAGTTACGGATATTGAATCTGGACGGATGTCTCGCTAAATCGAATTGACAGTTTATTCATTCAGTACACTTGGAATCTGAAGAGAAAACATAGGGACGCATCATAACGTTGTACAAGGTCAAATAACAATTATTAACGTAAAATAATATAACTGCTTCAAAATTTCACTTTTATCCTGTGTCATTATTATTTATGATTCCCTTAATGCTTGGTGGTTGCACCTTTTGGTATATAAATTCTTTTTGCGGGTACCCGAACGCAATGATAAACAATCTGCTAGTGCATTTAGTCGGAATTTAGTTTAGTTCGAACAGCTTTACTACGCTGCCACACAAATTTTGCTGCCTGAACAAGGTGCACGGTAAAAGCGAACCTTCGGGCGTACTATATTGTCAGTGTCTATGACAAGCTAATCGGAAACACACTGTAAACTATCTTACCATAACCCTTCTGCTAAAACTAGTTCCCCAGTTGTAAGGCAACGATTGTTTACATAAATCACTTTTGAGCAGACTGGCTTGTTCTTTGGCGAAAAGACGGACCTCCAACATTTTGGTTGTCAGATTGTAGAAAAAATGAGTGTGTGTAGTAGACCAAAGCACGCCATTTGAACATATAACTGAGTAAGCCGTATGCAAGATTCTTCTGTCCCCCGAACTGCACGCAAACACACTTTTGGGTTCTAAGTTAAAAGTGAACGTTGTTCTCGCAAAATATTTTTAAATATTTAAACCATTTTTCTTCAAGTTGCTTCCTCGATAATGAGGTGGCGTTTACTCTACTGACTCCCATAAACAATCCTTAAAGTCGCCCAAAGCTTATACGTTTCCAACACCTGATAAACACAGTCCCAAGAAAAAGGTCATCCTTTTCTGAACCAAACATAACAGTAAAACGTCCAAAAGTACTTCCCCGTTTTGGACCCGGTTAACAGATGTTAACCGCAGACTGACTGCAGTTGGTAGCTGGCCAACAGCAGAACTTATCAAACGGACCTCTGGTTTGGTTCTACAAGTCCTCCGTTATCATTCTGATATTTGTTACACTTAACACACACCACAATACTTACAGAATGCTAACGCTTCTTCTATACAATAGTACTTCTGAAGGTGAAGTGTAACATACTGTTTGTCGGTTTTTCATGTATCACCTTTGATTATCAGGTACTCCTTCGTCGTCGAGACTTCAGCTTGAAAATTCGGCCAGTGCTGTTCGAAGATCATGGGGAATACCGCTGTGCCGCAAGCACAAATAACCGTGTGTATTACCAGTCAACGGTTCTGCGTGTCCTTGGTAGGTGATAATTGCAACCACTGTGCAAATCATAAGGTATTGCTTAACGAAGCGAAGCGACGGTGGATATATTTGATTTTTGAAACAAAGGTATGATCAAATTACCGTGTCTCAAGTGCAAATCCACATGAGATTACTTCCAGATCAGATTTCCACCCCCTATAGATGTGAACAAGTTAAGGGAACCCAGGTCGCAGTTTTGCACTGCGTGATCATGATATGAAGTAATCTAAGTTGTACCTGTGATTAGCTCAAACAAGGGACCACTTTGCGTGGTCAACTTTTATAAAATTTTGAGCTTATCTGTTTCAAGAGTATGATCGGGACCAAAGGTTTCATACACACCGGAAGGTGTTTCATCCATGGAACAAATTTAGCACTATTTGATAGAAAATTACAGCTGAAAACAGAATGCTGCCCTGAAAAGTATTAACTGTCTTTCGAGAAGCAGCATTTACCCTAACAGATGAAGTTAGTTCCCTTAATACTGAGCAACCACAATTCACGTGAAGTGGTACATAAAGGAAGCATGAGCTTATTCATTTTATAAACTTTGGCATTGTTGAGGTTCAGAAAAACTAAACCGAGCTAAGTCGGCTTACCTGAGTTTCATTCAAGATTATTAAATAACCTTTGCTTCTGTCATTGATGACTAGGTAATGCTATCAGCGTGCCTGCACTGATATACAACTGCAACTAAATCGTTTTCAAACGGAACAGATCTATGTAAATGATGGAGAATTTTCGTTTCTAAAGTGGAATAGACCGGAGCAAAACTTTTTAGTCACATTTAATTAGTTAGTCAGTTTTCCTCAAACTCGAAACTTTACTGTCGTCCACTACCTTGTTATCATTTACGCTGTCGGTTAATTTACATTCCTAGCAAATTTTAAATCCATTTCACCAAATATTTTTATGCATCACAAGTGCTTCATAAGGAAGAGAGAGTGAGCAATCAATATATTACAAACCACACAAAATGATGTCACTCTCTATAATCACTATTTCGCCAAAATACTGTTAGCTAGCTCAGATTGTTAACTATGTGTTTCAAAGGCCTGTTGTTCAAACGAACGTTATGTTCGAGGCAATTGTCCCCATAAATTTGATCTAATGTGCAATATTAACATGGATCGTTTACCTTGTTTTCCATCCTTAAGTACCACCGAAAATAATCCGATCACCAGTCCGCCTGCTTAAAGTGGATGAGGGAGCGAAGCTTCATATTGAATGTTCCGCTACGGGAAATCCAAACCCTGAGGTTACATGGTTCTTCAAAAGGAACAAATCCCAAGGCAGCACCAATGGAGATGAGACACTTGTGCCGTTTCGTGAAGCATTCCCGAAATTTTACAAGGGTTGGTTAAAATTCGAACACTACCTTTAAAATTGTTGAAATACTCTGAATCATCCCTGTGTTAGTTGAAGCGTAAAATTGGTACCGCGCGTTTTTAATGAATCTAGTTTACTATGCGCTCTCCCTGACACAATAATTGCAACCAAACCAATGAACTTACATTAATGAACCAACCACCCGATCATCGTGCAAATAACGTGCAATAAGACTGGATCCGATTATTCCGCTGAAGAATTAGTCGTTAAAGTAATTGAGCCCGTTTCAACAGAATGGTAATAAAAACATTCCAACTCTTCTGATATGAGGTGTGCATTGAGGGAACGCAGTCACGTAAAAGGTAGCCGTTTGAAGCCTCACTTGTTGTCTTGAGACGAATTGTCCAACATCGTATTGCTGTTGGCGCTGGAAGCTCAGTGGTTGGAGCTTATAATGTATTTTATTACTGACATATTGTGACTAGTGCCGCTGTCTACTTTCCGCCTTGCTATTAAATTAATTCTGGTAGAAAAGCGTAACTCCATGTTTCTAGTCGAAGTTTAGTAATTGCACTTAGCTGTTTCCTTCTGTAATTTAGGTGGGAACCACTAGGTTTTTAGCTTTGTTTGATAAAAACAAACCATTTTTCAGGCTTAGCTCTAAATCGGTTCAAAATAAGCCACACCGAGGCATCAGTATGTTTGATATACGGAGTCAACTATATTACTATGAGGGTCCGTAGCACGCGGAATTTTCCAGATATATGATATGATACCATGCGAGACACGCGGGCAATTGTCAGTCATAAAGCTTAGTTAACCGAGTAGTTGTTGCTTTTTGATGGTAGACATGCACCCAAGTCCGAGAACACCAGCGCGGTGGCCTAAAGAAATGGTCCAAGGTGGTGTGATCCTATGGCTGAATGGTACTTGGTTTGCATTGCAACTTCAGTTCTGAAAATTCACAACTTTTGCTTACCCACTAACTCCTAGTATACCAAATGTGTAGCCAAGACAAATGTGCTGCTGCTAACATTTTGTAAATCTGATTTCCCCTAGACATCAAGGATAACAGGGGTTCCTTGAAGATAACGTCATTGAGCCGAAATATGAACGGAATGCTTATTTGTTTGGCGCATAACGGTGTGGAGCCCAGTGACCGGAGCAGCGTTGAGTTGTCTGTAAGATGTAAGCCGTCCCTCTGTTGTGTCTAAACATTTCCCTTGTTTTAAAATGGGTTCCTTTGTCATTTGTTACTCCGAAGTTATTAGCAACAGAGATTGTCTGTTCGCATCGTTATTGTATGCATGTGAAACAGTATGATAATACTAGATGAACATTAGAAAACTTTATTTAACTAAAGTAACTTTAGTATTTCGGCTGACCATCTTAGCAGTACATAACGGCTGGTGTGATATTTAGAGGCGATGGACAAGGAACAACTGTTAGTTCCCAAGTTACTATTATTTCCATCAGTTATAACCTAAGTTTACACATTGTGAACAGAGTAATGTGAAAATTTGAGAATTAATTATCCACGGATTCTAATGGCAACTATGACCGTTTGCAGCCAGCAAGAAATTGATTTGGTAGGTTAAGTGTCGGCACCTCAAGTGCCAACATAAACCAAGGATTTTACATGTTCTCTCTCGTTGAGTATTATGTGCTCTTTGTATGAGCCACAAATTCCCTCATGGTTTACAATCCGTGTAGGCGTTTATCTTGAGTTCAACGAAGCCGTACTATATTAGAAACATAAGTTGATAAATTCTAACTCAACCTATTTCTGTAAACAAAATGATTAGTCATTTGGCAATTGTCAGAGTTACCCCGAAAGTAGTTAATATTTTGAAATAAACTTAAACCGACGGAAAATCCGGAATTCCAGAATCTCATGAAAGCAGATCGATTTTCACCATTGTAAGCAAGGAACAATAAAACCTATTCCAAGTCAGTTTCGTACATTTGTAAAATTATGCAGACGTTTAACTCTCTTCTCAAAGGCTTCTGCAGTTTGGAATTTGCGCATGTGCTGGTGTTTGGCGAGTGGGCAGCAATGACTGCAATCTGACCTCTTGCTTGCTCGCGTCAATAGACCCAAATCGATAACGTCAAATGGATACTTGACCTGGTATAGAGAGAACGGAACTTACCAGAGTGACAAGCCGATGAGCCGCGCCAATTTGTGTGTGATTTCACTTGATGTGAGGTAAAAAACGTGTCTATGTTCTTTGAATATCGTCATCGACATCAGTACACATTAGCTGAGGGTGAGAAACACCTCGGATCATGTACCGCAAAACAAAGGATAGGACTAAAAAATTACAGAAGAGTAGTAGGGGGAGTTGAATGTTATAGGTAGAAATTCCTCACATCTAGGCTCACTCAGACTGCCGTCACATGCCCGGAAAAGCACTGCACGCGCGTTTCATCCTTTCGGGAATCGTCAGCAGTGCGCATTCCATCGGACCCCTGGTAAGGCTCGGACCCGCAAATCGAATGTTGCTAGTCCGTGGTTGAGACCACTGAGCTATGGGGGACGGCAACGATCATCGTAAATAAGTTACTAGTCGAGTTACAGTCGAGTTGCGGGTTCGAGCCCTGCCAGGGGTCCGATGGAATGCGCACTTCTGACGATTCCCGAAAGGATGCAACGCGCGTGCAGTGCTTTTCCGGGCATGTGACGGCAGTCTGAGTGAGCCTAGATGTGAGGAATTTCTACCTATAACTAAAAAATTACACTACAAATCCCATAAATTATACTACGAAAATGCTGTTAAGTATTACCTTATGTGTTTTGCGTAAGATCGGGGTTGGAGGGCGAATCTAAAGGCAGGGGGATGGGCAAAGATACTCACAACACAAACGCCATTGGTGCCGGCTCTCCGCCATATCAGCGTGCCCAAGTAAACGTGTTCATCATCCTTATGACCCCAGCTAGGCAGTCGGGATGCACCAACCGACGCCAACTTCGAAGTGAGGGTTTTCATTCCTCTCGACCAAGTCATCGGTTGGTCTCCCCTCCTCTTCCAACCGCACTCCCGGCGCGCAAACATTGCATGTCGCGGGAGCCGGTGTGCTACCATGCGCAACACGTGACCCAGCCAGCAGTGCTTGGTGCGTGAGATAATGGTGCTGAGCGGTCCACTCGCTGTTCCCGCATGAAATACGCGACGCCGAACACGCTCATTGCTTAGGCGGTTATCCTACCAGACATGAGCTAAGCTACGAAGGCAGCGATGATCGAATGTGACTAGCCTCTTTATGTCTGTCAACCTGAAGGGCAAACTTTCACAACCTTATAAGAGGTTTAACGGACGACAGCTTTATGAACTCTGTCCTTCAGGGCGAGAGTGATGTCGCGTCTGCGCCACAGGTGGCGGAGCTTGGCAAAAAGCTCCTCGAGTTATTGCTGTACGTTTCGTAACCTCGTCCCACGGACGCTAATATAGCTGCCTAGGTAATTGAAGACTCCAACCATTTCTAGCCTGTTTTTTAAACAACAGGATGTTGATCGAGGCGCGTTCTTAGTTGTCGATTCACGGAAGGCCCTCACTACGCAGTACAACTAAAACCAATGTTACCATAACTATTTTATATGTTTGGAAAGTTAAGACGGGAATACCACCACTAGAGACGGTCAATGGCCTAACGGTTACTGAAGAGGAGACCGCGGACGCATTGCTCATGCAGTTTGTCTCAGTGACTAGACACACCATGGAGCCATCGCCTTGCTACATCCCAGCAAATGTCGTCGGCTTATCCACGGTCAACTTTAGCCCTACATCTGTGGCAAAGAAATGACAGTCGCTCAGGGAAAATAGTGCGCCGGGAATTGACAAGATCTGTCCGAAAGTACTTAAAACCCTTGCACCCACCATGGCAGTCCACCTTGCAACCTTTTTCCAGTTTCTATTTGATTCTCATACACTTCCGTCTGAGTGGAAACGTGGACTTATCACTCCGATATACAAGGGAGGTAAGCGGTCAGACCTTGCCAACTACCGACCTATTACTCTCCTTCCTGTTCTATCAAAAGTGATGGAGTCTATAATCGCTGATGAAATGGTGAGATATTTTGAAAGTCTACAAATCATCTCCAACCTCCAACATGGATTCAGACGCGGACGATCTTGCCTCACCAATCTACTACTTGCTCGGGACTCATGGACCAGGGCTGCTGACGAGGGAGTTCCCGTAGATGTGATTTACTTAGACTTTTCTAAGGCATTCGACAGAGTCAATCACCCAGCACTTCTCCGAAAGCTTGCGGCCTATGGTATCCACGGATCCTTGCTCACATGGTTGGAAAGTTACTTATACGACAGAAGAATCGAGGTAAGGATCGCCAACACCCACTCCGATAGCCTATGCGTCACTAGCGGCGTACCGCAAGGATCAGTTCTCGGCCCGTTACTCTTTTTAGTCTATATCAACGACCTCCCTGCCAACATTCAATTACCTATGCAAATATTCGCCGACGATGCTAAGATGTGGCGAGCTATTCAGTCAACATCTGACCCTGTCTATCTGCAGGATGACCTGAACCGGATTCACGAATGGACAGTAAACAACCAACTACCCCTGAACCCCGAAAAGTGTCACCTGTTGTCGCTGCGCAGTAACTGCAGCAACACATATCACCTTGGGCAGCGCGTTATAAAACAGGTGAGCAACGAAAGAGACTTAGGGGTCATCGTGCAAGAAGGTCTGGGTAATTCGCTCCAATGTCCAATGCAGCTAACATAGCGAACTTAAACTTGAGGCTTTTGAGGCGAGCGCTCGGTACTTTCGAGCGGCAACTCGTGCCATTATTGATTAACGCCTACATTCGTCCCCACCTCGAGTATGCGGTGCAGGCATGGCGTCCGTGGTTAAAACGGGACATTCGTCTCCTGGAGCAACCACAAAGAAGAGCCACTAAGGCAACACGTGGTCTATCGGGCCTTAGTTATGAACTGCGCCTTCGTTCGATCGGTCTGTACTCCTTAGAATACCGACGACTTCGCGGTGATCTGATCCTCACTTACCGGATACTAAGAGAAGAGGACCATCCATGTAAGTCGCTGTTAACATTATCTGCCGACAAACGATGCCGAGGCCATGCACTAAAACTTATGACTCAATATTCCCGTTTAGATTGTAGAAAGTTTTTTTTACTTTCTTAGTGTCTGTCCGCACTGGAACGCACTGCCATCGGATGTGGTGAACGCACCAAACATCGAGACATTCGAAAGACTATTGGACTTGCACTTACATGATACACATTATATAACGGTATGACAAACCGCAGTGTCTAACTTACTGATATTTTTGTGTCACACCTGAAACTTTTGTTTTCTTCCATTTGCCATCCTGTGGGTCTTGTAAAGTTATTGCTTTTTATCCCACCATACACTATTGAACTATTGAAATATTGATGCGTCTACTGAAGAATAAACGGTAACCTTTGTTGAAGCTTCCGTAAAAATCCGTGAACAAACGTTTTCTACATTTAATAGGTCTTGTACTAGTCCCTATACCACCAATTTAGCATTATACATTTGTGGGGAAAGATGATGTGGCATGTCGACCTATTCACAGTCATCTGTTAATACTGGTTTTATTCGTTAACACGGAGCATCGCCTTACTGCTTAGGTCAACTTATTCAGTAATAGCAAGTACTTCAAATAGGCTCTATCTTTTGTAGGAGCAGTGTGACGGATGTACATGTGAGAATTCAACTCTACTCTGCATATTCGATTTATAAATCACTTCAAATACGGTACAAGTAATACTAATGTAGGCTAAAAATATTTTTGCAGTGGATAATGTCTCAACGCTTATATTGCATTTAAACTGCGCATCAACAATTATATTTGCATACTTGTTAGTTCCTCCGGAGATAAAATTGGCGAACAGGCTTATACGACAAGGAATTGGTATGAATACAATGCTTTCGTGTGAAGTTACTTCAAATCCCACGGCAAATATACAATGGTACTTCAACAAACACAGTAGAATTGCCGCCTTCAGCTGCGATCTATTGAACAATGATGAAAAGAAGTACTGCGCACGTGAGCTTTCAAACTTTTTCTATAACACACGGTTTAGTTTTTGCCCGTTGGTAAACTGTTTTGTGGTTGTGAACTTATCCAACGGCATTTTTACTTCACATCGCATTCTTCGGAAGAATGGCTTAGAGACATCATGTGATATATTTACTCGGACACTATTTCTCAAGAACGGCAAATCATTGGTCAATCTTTATCAGCAAGCATATTTTTGCTTGAATAAATTGTTATGTTCCAACCAAATGATAGTTAAAGGTGTTTAGAGCACTTGGAACATATGACCCTATATGTGTTCCTCAAGCTGTTTCCTTCGTACAGAGTCAGAAACGAAAATCATTTGGTTTTGACATAAGCTTGATCACTATGTCTTGTTAGGGAATTAAGGTTTCCATCTATGGCACAGCAATGTTTGGTTTTCTTAAACTATTAGGTATCACATGCTGGCAATATTGCACTTCCAGGTCACCTCGGACTTGTTCGCAATCGTCAGAAATCCGAACTTTTTCCCCTGGACTCCAGCCGCTTCGAAAAATCAGACTTCCCCATGTCACTAATCGCGGTCTTGATTTAGATTGCATGTTTCAGTCTAATCATATAACGCTGCTTCAAATAAACCCGAAAGGCGCTTTCCAACTGTTTCAGCAAACATGTTTGGGTAATCTTCGTCTTAGCCGAACTGCCCATCCATTATAAAAGGATTTCGTCGGTTAACCTTGCACAACGAATGACTTATTGGGTGTTTAGTTAAATGTAGTAGTTATTTCCCGCCTTCTTGGAATATACACCTAATCAACAATTTCATCAACTGAGTCTGAATGCTTTTAGTAAGCAACAACATTCGACACTAAAGAGGCGAGATCGTTAGGCCAGCCAGGTTTCAACTGTACATGAATGCTTATAAATAAATAAAATAAATAAATAAATGGTATATTCCTCGGTGATTCGAGTTGCAGTCCAACTATGTGGTCTGCTCAATCTGTACAACAGGATCGCGAAAGAATAATCAATTTGTTCACGCTTTTTACAATGGATCCAAAGCAGGTACTAAACTAATTGGCAGGATTAAGGCATTAAAGAAATTAAAACCAGGAACAATAACGTAAGCAGATTTAAATAGATGTCCAGTTAAAGTAATACGGCCACTGGTGGAACCATCCCCAGGGGACCTGCTTCCACGCAAGTTATTCCCTCGAAAGGTTTCGCCTGCACTTCCATGCAATAACTGGCCGTGTGCCGGTGTGGCATAGTAGCATATGAGCCATCACCTGTTTATCATATGTTCTGTTCTTTTTAGAGCTGCTTTTATACATGTATTATGGGCCATGAAGGCTCAGCTCAGTCCGTCATGCGGATCATTCTATTATGGCACTTTTTATACGCCAGTCAGTTGGTGGTAATTTACCTTGCATAGGTAACGTCTTTTATGATCTGGAAGCTGTAATCCGTCACCACAGGAGATCAGTCTAGTCGTGGCCAACTATGAAATAAGGAAGAATATAGAAAAGAGGAATTATGTGAAAACTATATCGTTAGTGTAAAAAATAGGCAGGTATGTTTTTTTTACATCGACGTAGAAATAGATCGAGCCGATCATACGATAAATTGTGTGGCGTGACAGCCGGAGACGGATGACTGTACGAATAGTCCATAGGCAAAAGTCGCATAGGGAATCAGTTATTGCCATCACTGAATTCAAGTATATGTTTCTGGACTGTTAACTTCAGAGAAGCACTGAGTAATTAAGTCAAAATGTATTATGTCACCAAGGCTGCCATCTGCGGTTACAACCAGCAAACGTATATACAATCCAACCCTGTTAGGACGAACACCTGTCTATGGTGACCAGCCAAAAACTCTCCAAATGTTTCTTCTATGCTTGCTGTCTCCGCGCATGAACCTCTCCTTGACGATCACATATTGTCGGTCCCTTAAGTGGCCGCCTTAGAGAGGTCTGACTCTCCACCTCCCGCCCTCTCGCTCTCCCTCCGGCACGAAGCTGATGGTGTACAAATCCATGGTGCTGTCCGTTCTTCTATGCGGCAGTGAAACGTGGACGATTTACCGTCGGGATGTGCGATATCTCGAGCGGTTCCATCAGCAGTGTTTGCGACGGATTTTGCGTATCGATTGGGGCGACAGAGTTGCAGACACGGAAGTGTTGCGACAAAGTGCGATGTATGCAGTGGACTGCATACTTTTACTGAGACACCTGAGGTGGCTCGGTCATGTGTGGCGTATGGATTCGACGCGGATACCGAAGCAGCTTTTATTTGGTCAGCTCAATACTGGGAAGCGGCAAGTGGGGAAACCAAAGTTGCGTTACCAGGACATGATTAAAGTGAGCGTCTCACGTTCTAATCTTGATTGCAGGTCATGAATATCAAAGGCGATTGATCGGCGTGCATGGCGCGATCTGAGTACGAAGGCAGTTGCTGAAGTGCGAGAGAAAGACCTCATGCATCCAGAGAAGAAGCGGCAAGTGCGGAAGTGGTAAGCACCGATTGATTGTACTCCATCGGCATCGAGCGCATGGTGCTGTAGCACATGCGGTCGCGAGTACCTGAGTCAGGCAGGCCTAGTGAGCTATGAGCGAGGCCACTCGGGACCACTACCGAAGCGACTTCGGGTCCTGCAGAGAACGTAGGCAGAACCGGCGCAGCGTTTGTAGGTACGCTGCGTTCGATTTACTAACCGTGTGCTTGCATGCTAAGTCCCTTTACTTCAGGTGGTTGGTTTTCAATTTTGTTCTAATGCTTTTCTTTCTCAATATATATATATATATATATATCTACCTGTACTCTCTTCTATAAACTTACACACGTCGCTTAAGCCAATTTTAGTCAAGTTCGATAACGTTTCGTGTTTGTGGCATTTCCGTAAACTATACTTTCTGAGCTCGTGAACTTACCCCGAATTCATTGGTAAACAACCTATGTCATATGACCATCAATTTAAGATTTATATCAGCGTTTCTTTATGCATTACTCGATGTATTTTCTTGGATATCTTTCTCTCAAGTGATTGGCTGTTGCTTGGTCTCCCCAGTGTGGTTGCGCTTGATGTGCATGTTGACAAGGTGCCTACCTGTCTATTACCCACTACCTCCTTCATACTGGCTCCAGGAGAGAGTTGGTCGTTGCTGGAGGGGACGGGGTGCACTGTCCTTGTGGTCGTGCTAGGCTCGAAGAGTGGTTCCGTGCACTTAGTGTGTAGCGGACTACTGTCCAGCCACCGCCTTGTGTGCGCATGTTTCCCCAAATACCGCGTGCTTGTGATTGCCTGTGAAGGAGTGTGGGCCGGCTCCGTTGATGAAACGTGGCTCCCTTCCACATGCCTCCCGGTCTTATTCCTTCGGGTTTACACTGGATATGGGGTGTGTGGTTGAAGCTGTTGGTGGTGTAGCGCAAGCCACCCATGGTCTCGCTGTAGGCGCAGGTGTTCTGTGGCTGGCCACAGTAACAGGCAAATCCGAAACCGGATGCCGCCGACTATATATACATAATAATATATATATATATATATATATATATATATCAATTCGCGGTGTGAATAAGAACCTTGCAAATCTATCTTCAAAGCGTACGAATGATTTAACTTGAAATGAGACCTTCCATAAAAACGGTATTTTTTAAACAGTTATTACACCAACCCTAAAGCTACTTGCCCCTAGAAACTTTTACCACTTTTCAATTTTCCCGAAATGAAAGCCACTTCAAATCACGGATGCATTTGTTTTACTGTAGGAGAGCTTTCATACAAAGTTAAAATGAGTGCCCGCTTTCCATGTACGCCATACATGACACTTGACTGTTCTGGTTATGGGCAGCGCGAATTGTCAGGCCGCAAACTCTCACTCTTGCTCCATGTGATGGGTGAAACTGGTCTTTCGGTATTACGATACACGCCTTTGTTTACTGAATGGGTGTCGGTCGATTGGTCAAACTGAATTGTGACATTAAAATGGCTTCCAGTCTTGTACAATAATTCGATCAAATTTCATCCAGAGGTTCCCCATCTTTGCAAATCTGGCTTCGTGAGATGGTCAACGAGAACCGCTACCCTCTTGTACGTGCCGTCATCCTTCATCTATTAAAGCTACTCTCCATTTAAAATATTTCTTTGTCATTAGTATAAGATAAATAAAGTTATATTGCCGACTATGCGAGACACGCCATTATAGGTATTATCGCATTGTGTTCTGGCTCAGTTATTTGCACCTAAGAGTACAAAGTGCCCCTACATCTCGAAGCTCCGTTCTGGAGGTGTGGTTTCTGTTTTAAAGATGACTTGGAAGAACTACCAGGGCGACACCTTATCAGATTACATGCCACCGACTTTGGTGGCGACTTGTAAAGGTTGTCGTAGCTACGGCGTCCAGCAGTGTGCTCTGCACCTTCAAAACATACATAACAGTCAGGATGAGTCGCAATACATTGCAGTTAGAAATCAGTCATAGCGGTCGGCCATCGTTACCCACGGCTCAGTGGCATAAGTCGCTGGCTTGTAAGAGTATGTACATGGGTTCGCATTAAGTAGGATTCGGCTGCTTCGCGATTCTGACGAGTCCCAATAAGATGAAACAGCCGACTAGCACTTTTCTGGATGTATTGTGGCGGTCTGCTTGCGTCTAGCTGTGATGAACCTTCTCATAAACACAATAAATCGCTTGACTGCTCACTAATAACTATGTTTACTCCTTCGAAGACGATCGCACTCATTAACCCGATTACTGGCGTGAAAACTATATCGATCGTGGAACGTACCTAAATTAGTAACAGATGCCAGCCGCAGACCGGTGTTTTGGTAGCGCAAACAGCGATAACGGATAACGTGCGGTGAGGTTTTTATGCTCATTGTAGGCTTACTGCATTCCACCTGATGAAGGTGTTTGGTTTTCTGTCAGGTCCATTCCGTCGTAAGATTCATTCCATACGACTCGGACGGTTCGACAAGAGTTGCTCGTAGAAGTCGTTTATGTGCACAAAGCTTCAACGTGCTCGCAT